AAATGTTTTGAGAAACGATGTACAAATGTGCTTTACACAATTGATGTGTGTATGGATTGGGATAACAGTTGTATGAGCCCCTAATAAAATGTTAAACAAACAAACAAACAATGATGAAGATCAGACACCAGGACTTTCCGTGTGGATTATATCTCAGCAAAAAGAAAAGAAAATTCCACACACTGGACCAATCATTAGAGAAAAGATGGAAGTTGTCGAGAATTTCATTTTACTTGGTCTGCAATCGCTACCCTTGGAAGCAGCAATCAAAACGTTAAGCGATGCATTGCCCTGGGCAGCATGTCTTGCAATCTCTCTCTTTTTGTCGACTCAAAGATGTCACCTTGTAGATTATGGTGCACTTGGCCTAAACCGTGGTTGTTTCCATTGCTTCGTGTGTCTTATAGAAAAGTTGGACACTACATAAGATATCCTGAAGAACAGACGCTGTTGAATGATGGTGTTGGCAGAGAATATTGACCCTGTCAGCACGGCTGGCAACATGAACCTGGAAGGATGGCAGATGCCCCTTAGGAGCCAGAGTGACAAGGTGTTTTCTTATGTACTTTGGACAGGTTACAGGATGGATTGGCCCCTGAAGAAGGGCATCATGCTTAGCAACCTAGTGATACCCTCCGTGAGATGGCCGGGCACAGTGGTTGCAAGAATGGGCTCCATGGAATGCCACTGGCCCTGCAGGATTGCCCTCTCTCATGCACGGGCTCGCAGGAATCCAGGCCAGTTCAATGGCGCCTAACAACAGTGATGCTGTGTAATCATCACCAGGATTTATTTTCAAAACTTTTAATCAGCCCCCACAGAAATGGAGAACCCATTCAGCACAACTCCCCTGGCTACCTATACTCTTCCTTCTACCTCTGTGAATTTGCCTGTGCTTAGCACCCTTATCCTGAACTTGGTGTTTCACAGAGTCCCGGCGTGGTGCCAGTAGTCAACACGCCTGGTTGCTAAAAGGTATGTCTACCCACAGGTGCTTTGGAAGAAAGGGCTGGCAATCCACTTCTGAAAATTCAGCACTGAAAACTACAGGCACCGTTCTGCTCTGACACACACAGGGTGGCCACCATGAGTAGGAGCTAATTCAACGGCAAATGGTGCCTAGCAGGTATGAAGCAGGCAGCGTGTGCCCTTTTCTGAAATCCATTCTTAACCATTTGCTTCTTTAAATTCACCTCTATTGAGTTAGACGGCTTAGCCATTTTAAAGAGAGATACCTAATTACTCTGCATAGAAGCCTGTGTCGCGGAGGACCCTGGCACTTAGAGACTCGCAGGTGTGTGGTTCCAGGGGACAGGCCTGGGCTGCCCCACCCTAGAATGGTACCTGCCGGCAAACCTGCATGTCCGTAACAACTTCTTGATGTGGAAAAGCTGCTCCTGCAGTTCCTAATGTGAGAAACCAGACAGGGGACAGTTAAACGCGGTGCAGGACTCGCTCGGGACATGCACACATCTCTAAGTCAACCTTCCCTTCTGTGTGCCTTTAAAGGACCACCTCTAGATGGCCGGGGCTCATTCCTAACAGAATCCACAGGTCTACAGAGGGCCCGAGATGGAGCCAGGGCTGTGAGCCTAGAGCTGACCTTGACAGTGGCTTTCTTCAACAGCAGCACAGAGCCATGAGTGGTGTCCCTGCGGGGCACGGAAGGGAAAGCACCTGACTGCTACTGGCCCACATGTTGTCGGTTCAAACCCACCCAAGAGGAGAGAGCAAGCTGGACCTCTGGCTCTGGAAGGTCACTACCTTGAACGCCCTGCAATTGGTTCTGATAGGGAGTAACCCGAAGCGCCAATTTGCTATTGATTTATGATGGAAACACAATGTAGTTAGAGGGATTGTATTCTTGGTGTCGATGTAACTTAGCTAGAAATCCTCCTTAGCTGTGACCCAGATCTAAACCCCTCTATCTTGGCTCACAGCCTACCCTAAGACAGGGCCCCGGCTTCCTCCCTCCCTTCACTAAGGCCAGTGCCTGCACACCCCGCCCGTCACCTCAAGATTTATAGTCCCTAAGAAACAGAAGTTCTGAAACACAAGATCTTCTTAAAACAAAACCTCGTTTTCCTTGCTTGTGTCTGTCATTCCAAGACGTGTCTGTCTGAAAGGACTGTTTCACTCGGCCCGTGTACGTATCTTGTGAGAACAAAGGGATGGGGGCAGGCAGTTGGAGGCCGGACCCCGCTTCTCCCTTCCCATGCAGGTGATAATAAAACTTAACGTCTTTCTAATCCACCTGGTTTCTGTCATCTGGCCACCACTCCACAGGCCTCTTGGTGGCCACTGTGCAGCAGTTCCACTGAGCACACACAGGGTCGCTCTGAGCCCTCGTGGATTATTGGAGGCCAACGAGTCACGCGGCACAACCACGTGTCAATATAAAATTCCACAAAGGGCCCTGGAAAGAGTCTGTACAGCTGCAATGACATTTGATTCACAGGATATTTGTCCCTTAGGAGCCCCATCCTCCAAACCAATGTACTGCCTTTGCCAAAGTGGGTGGCCAGTCCTCGGCAGAGGCCGCTGCTCACCCTCACTCGGTCCAGTTCCTTGGCCTTCGCATAGAGGTCCTGAGCGGTAGTCAGCACGTGGAAAAGGGGTTGGTGCCATATGCTGTCCAGCAGTCTTTGGGAGAAATTGCTGACGTAGTACTTCCGGAAGTCCCACCTCACCAGGATGCGGGCGGGGATGCAGGCTTCCGCGTAGGAGTGGCAGCAGTCACAGAAGTACCTGCCCAGGTACTCGCAGTAGCGGAGCCTCTTCACAAACTCTGTGGAGCATAGGGGAGAGTGAGCACCCCAGGGCGCTGGGCCCAGGAGCCCCACCTGCCTGTTCACATGCAAGGTGCGAGGGTTCAGATCCGGGCTTTCATGCTGCCGAGGCCATAATGTGAACTTGGAGGGGTTGGAAGAACACTGGGTGAACATGGTTTAAACTGAGTGTAACAGATGCTGCGAAACCAGTCGCTAATAAGGCAAATGCAACCCCTGCTGACCCTGTGCCGGGATCGAACTGCCCTCTCTAGGGTTCCCAAGGACCCGTTTTCCAGAAGCAAGTTGTCACACTTTTCTTCCAAGGAAACTCTGGCCAGGTGGGAGATCTCAGCCTCTCCCCTGCAAACAGTGTTAACTACTGTGGTACTTATGTAATCTGTTGTCAATTTGGGAGTATTAAGAGCGAAGGGGTGGAGTTTAGCCTGCCAATCAAGTCGCGGCTGGATGACCTCATTTGGAGGCACCAAGGAGATTAATAGCTCGCTGGAGGCTGGACACATGTACACTCCCTGCCAGACATCCCTGTTGAGAAAACACATGGAGTTACACTAGAGCCCTGGAGCTGAAGGAGCCACATCCCTTCCACAGATGCTTCCACTGCTGCTAATGGATCCACAAGACTGCACCCACTGGCCTGTGATCTTCCTACATTCAGCGCCATTGCATGTGTTGTGTGAGACTGAAGAGGAATTTATAGATTGGTATCGGACATATGGGCTAATATTGGACTTATAGACTTGATCTGGACTGGGCTGGGATATTTTCTCAATATTCAATTGCTCTTGCATATAAAGCACTTTCTTATGTACATATGTATGTCTATGAATTTGTTTCTCTAGTCTACCCAGACCAACACAGCTACCCAGGAGCGCACACATCAGCGTCCACCCGATGCCCTCTAAATAGAACTCTCTCAGAGCACTCCTGGACCTGGAAGATGGACCTTAAGCTGTGGGCCATGAATAGCAGGTGATCCTTAAAGCCTGGAAATCAGGGTGGGGTCATGGCTGCACCTCTCTCTCTGGCCAGGAGACCGAGGGTTGTCATCACCCCCACCTTTCCTGGGAACCCCAAAAGTGATGGCAATAAAACCCAAATTTAGATAGCATTCCATTCATTTTGTCATTCTTTTAATTTTCCTACAGATAGTTGAACATTTTGTAAGAAGGTGACCTAACAGAATGCTGAAAGACTTCAGCAATAGCATTCATATGGCACGCCAGTAAAAATATCTAGATAATTCAGATATGGTTGTAGAAATACATCCACAGAGAGCCACCAGGAATTCGAAGCGGATTCAGAAGGGAACATGGACCAAGGGATATCATTACTGATGTCTGATGGATCCAGGCTGGAAACAGCAAATGCCAGAAAGATGTTCATGTACTTATGTTTTACTGACTGTGCAAAAAAGCATAACAAACTCAGGATAACAGTGAGAAGAATGGAAATTTCAGAATACTTCATCTTGCTCGTGCGGAACTTGTAAAAGGACAGAGAGGCAGCCATTTGAATAGACCAAGAGAATACTGTATGATTTAAAATCGGGAAAGTCGTGCATCTCTGCTTTTCCTTTTTTATTCAGTCTGCATGCTGAACAGATCATCTGAGAAGCCAGACTGACCCTCTAAATGAGCATGTCGCACCAAGACTGGAGCAAGGCGTCTGAACTGCTGGGACGTGCAGATAGCACCGCTTGGCTGGCTGAAAGCGAGGAGGACGTGAGGCGTTTGCTGACGGAAATCAAAGACTGCAGCCTTCCGTGTGGATTGCATCTCAACGCAAAGAAAACAAAAGCAACCCCTACGTCATGACAAACAGAGAACAGGATGGGTTGTTGAGGACTTTCCTTGGCTTGGCTCCCCATCAACGCTCCTGGAGGCAGCAGCCACGTGGCAGGGGCAGCCGGGCTGCACGAGACCTCTTTAAAGTGTTGAAGAACAAGGACGGCACCGAGGGGCGCCCCACTCAAGCCCTCGTGTTTTCAATCACCTCATCGCCATACACGTCAAAGCTAAACAATGAATAAGGAAGCCCAGCGAGGAACTGATGCATTTGAATCACGGTGTTGGCCAAAACCATTGAAAGTACTGTAGACTGCCAGAAGCACAGATCGATCAGTCTTGGAAGAAGGATGGGCAGAATGCTCTTTAGAAGTGAGGGTGGCAAGTCTTTGTCACGTGTTCTTCAAACATGGTACCCAGAGAGACCCAGCTTTGGAAAGGACATCATGTGTGGTAAAGCTGAAACTCAGCAAAAGAGAGGGAGCGCTTCAACAAGATGGGTCAACAAGTGGCTGCAACAGGGAACCCAAACATCACGACAACGTCAGAGAAAGCATCGGACTGGACAGTGTCTCGTTCCGCTGTACAGAGGGTGACTATGAGTTGGAACCAACCGAAGGGCACCTGATAACAGCAAAAGCATGATTACATAAGGTGCCAACATTAGGGGATGCTGGGTAAAGGTGATATGGGACATGTCCGTCCTGTTGTTGTTTGGTTTTCTCGTTTTGTTATGTTTTTTCAACTCTTCTATAATTCTAAAATTATCTCAAAGTAAAAAGGTAAACAAAATTTTTTTCTGAGAGCTTAGGAAATACATAACAAAAGTCCAACATGACTTGCCCAGTTGGCAATGCCTTCTAAAATCTGAGCTCTTCCTAGCTCTGCAGTTGGGTTTTTTCCCATCCCTACCCCCCAACCACATAAGATATTTTTTTCTAATTGCCTCTGTCCCTTGTACCTGTTAGCCTTCCCCACTTTCTGGGCACAATGGCTTCCTCAGAATCCTCCTCAATCCAAGCTTGCAGGTCCACATTAAGTTCCCTAGCTGGAGGGCCAGACCACCCTTGACTTTCTCTTTGACTCGAATGCACCCACCTGGTGATTTGCTTGGCTGATGACGGTCTTCCCTATAAGACTGTAGGTAGGTTCCATGAAGACAGGGAGGTTCACCGCTCTGTCCGCACTGCAGACACAGCTCCCCAAGTAAGGGGAGGACCGAGCAAGTGTACAGAATCACAGTCATGTGTCTGCAGTTCCCGATTCAAGCACTCAGGTTTTACTGGTGCTCCAGGAGACAGCGGTGGACCGAACATAAAAGGTCGCTGCTAGGCTAGCTGCGAAGAAGATCCCCTTACAAGAGGACTACTGGACCATGGGACATGGTTGGAATTATCATCCAACGAGTAGATTTTTGCTTCCTATTTTTATTTCTTGAGGTGGAGTCCCTTAAAGTGCTTTTCCTTCAGTGGCTGACTACTGAAGACCAAAGGAGCCCCTTTGTCCTCTTTCTCAGGTCAGACCTACAGACACCTTGACAACAGAACAATAGCTTCCCCCTGCAAACGGGTCTCTACTCGAGGAAAGTCCGCAAACTCTCGGCCAGAGACTCGTTCGGCCAGTCCTTTGCTAAGCTCTTCATTCGTGCAACACGATTTTGGGGAGAATCATGCACTGTTCTGTGAATCGAGTAATGAGTAAAATGGGGGAATTATCTGCCCTTGTAGAATTTGTATGTGAGAGTATGGATGAGTGTAGGGGCATGTGAGAGAGAGAGAGAATTGGTGAGTGTGTGTGTGCGAGAGAGAATATATGTGCATGTGTATGTGGCCAAGTGTGTGAAGAGGTCAATCTTTTTAATGACTTTTGAGGGAAGATGTGAAGGAAGGGAACCAGTCGCGAGGTGTCTGTGTGAGAGCATTCCATGGAGAGAAAACTGTATATGCAAATCCCTGGGGCAGGTGTGAGCCTGGCTTCTTCCTGGACCAGCAAGGAGGCCACAAAGGCCTTAGCTGAGTGCACACTGATAAGAGCCATAGAGGCAGCAGGTCCATCGCCTCCTTGGAGGCTATTGATCTCTTAGAGGAGATGGTCTACTCATGAAACACGTATGAAGCTCTAAGAAACATTTATCATCAAAAGTCTCTCACCAAAAGGATGCACTGCCCAATTTTGCAGCTGATCGCTATTATTGTACAGTGAGCAGGCCAACCAGTGTCTATACTTACTAGGTTCTACTGGAGTCCCACAACCAGCACAGAAGAAATTTTGGGCTGCAACCACGAGATCTCTCCTGTGTACAGAAAAGATTGAGAGGTTCAGAGGTCAATGGAATCTTTCTCACAGATTGAAACAGCCATGGAAATCATGATACTTCTTCTTGACCTGGGGCCTTACTTTTTTTTTATTCCTTTTTCTTTTGGGGAGATGATGAGAGATTCATTCCACAGAGGTCTCTAGTTAACACCTCTGGGTCTTTCTAAAGCTAGAATTCGGTAAAAGCCTACTTTATGACCCACGCAGCAGTGGCAAAAGAAGGAGCTACCACAGAGTCTTTATGGAGCATCTCCATGCCCAAGCCAAGGGTTCCATCCTTGGAGATAGCTGGAGGCTGGTTGTGCACAAAAGGCAGCTCAGCGGGGCAAGAAACCAAAATCTAATGTACTTGGAAAATTCACAAAGAAATTTCGAGGGAAAAAGACAAAACTACTAAACATTTCCGGTGAGATTCTATGGTGAAGCATTTTCTATGGAACCACTGGTGGCAGGATTCCAAGTCATATGATTTGTGCCTGTTGAGCAAAGGGTGAATTTTCATTACAATTCAGTCAGTAACGGGCAAGGCACAAGCGTGTTGAATCCCTACCCATGTACCTTGGAGAGCAACCGGGACGTCTTGGAGGAGGGGTGGAGAACCTTGTTCCTGCCAAGGCCCCACTGGTCAAACATTTCACTAACTCACTGGGCCTGCTGCTCTTTGGTGAGGCTTATGATGTCAAACACTTAATTAACTCTTCTCTTGTGTGATGGCTGGACCCGCACCTCTTTGTGAGCTGGTGATGACATCAAGGGCCTTACACACGTTCCCCAACCTTCCTAGAGAAACGCTCAGGACTGTGATTCCTCACAGCACCTACAGGGAGCTCTTCTGCTAAAACAGTCCTAGACCCTTTCCTGCTTTACTCCCTGAGAAAAGGGCAACACACCATCTCCTGGGCGCTTCTCAGCAGTTACTCCCTGCAATTTGGGTGCTGACTAAGCAAAAGCCAACAGTCATGGAAAAATCATAGTCTATCAAAATGTTCCTTTGTGGAAACAGAGGACAGATCTAGGAAGTGAAGCTATCGATAGAGGTATAAACATAGGTGTGTACATAAATAAATACATTCGTTCACAAAAATTGAGGTACTGGCATATGTACATATGGCAATACATTGAAGTATTGGATGGACTTTGGCCATCTGCTCGAGCCCTGCCTCAATACAAGAACGCTTTGTGCTAACAACCTGGCATTCTGTGATGCTCAGCCTCCTGGCACGATCACTGAAGACAAAATGGGTGCACAAGCAAATGTGGTGAAGAAAGCTGATGGTGCCCGGCCATCAAAAGATATAGCATCTAGGGTCTTTTTTTTTTTAAATCATTTTATTGGGGGCTCGTACAATTCTTATCACCATCCATCCATGCATCCATTGTGTCAAGCACATTTGCAAATTTGTTGCCCTCATCATTCTCAAAACATATGCTTTCGACTTGAGCTTCTGGTGTCAACTCCTCGTTTTTCCCTCCCTCCCCCCTGATAATTTATAAATCATTATTTTCCCATGTCTTACACTGAGCGTCTGGGGTCTTAAAGGCTTGAAGGTAAACAAGCGGCCAACTAGCAGCGAAGCAATAAGCCCACTTGGAAGAAGCACACCAGCCTATGTGATCATGAAGTGTCAATGAGATCAGGTAACAGGTATCAGAAGACCACAAGCAAACAAACAAACAAACAAAAGCATATTGTTGAAAACGAGGGGGGGTAGGAGCAGAGACCCAAAACCCATCTGTAGACAATGGGACAGCCCCTCACAGAAGGGTCACAAGGAAGGGATGAGTCAGCCAGGGCACAGTACAGCACTGATGAAACACACACTATTCCTCTGTTTCCTTGAGACTTCCTCCCCCTGCCCCCACTATCATGACCCCAGTCCTGCCCTTCCTTGCACACTAGACCAGAGCGTGTACATAGGTACAGCTAAGAGCTCAGGACTCGGAATCCAGGTCAGATAAACCCTTCAGGTACAGAAATGGGAGTATGATACCAGGAAGGTAGGGAAGGTGGGAAGTGGAGGGGAGAATGGGGAACCTATCACAATGATCAACACATAACCACACACACACACACACACACACACACACACACACACAAACAACAGAAACGGTGGCGGTAGGGAGACAGCAGTTGGTGTAAGATATAAAAACAATAATAATTTATCAGTGGGTCCTGAGGTTGGGGGATAGAAAGAGAAAAAAGAGGAGCTGATACTAAGGGCTCAATAGAAAGTAAGTGTTTAGAAAATAATGATGGCAACATATGTACAATTGATACCATTGATGTATGCATTGTTATAAGAGCTGTAAGAGCCCCCAATAAAATGATCTTTAAAAAAAAAATGTTCCTTCATCTATCGGGTCTCATATATTCTCAGGGGGGAAAATGCTTACATTACTCTTTTTTTTTTTTTTACATTACTCTTTAAGAAGATTCACACACTATCTAATTGCAAGTGTAGAACATTCTGGAGAAGGCAAAATGATGTGAAGGGCCAGTGAACTGAGGTGGACCCAGTGACCCCACGTGACAGAGTAGAACTGCCCGCTGGGCTTGTTAGGGCGACTACAGCCTCGCCGGGAGCACACGGCCGGGTCCCTTCCCTCTCACGGAACTGCTGACCAGGTCAAAACACAAATCGTTCTGGAGGCTTCTGAGCACTTAACTGCTGCGCCACCAAGGCTCCGGCAAGACAATAAGAGCGAACCCAAGAGTGAACACAAGAACAGGCAGGGGACGGGGATTTCATAATCAATGGAACTGTGCCACGTGACACTGTCCCAGAGGACACGTGGCACCGAGTGTCTGTCAGACCCACAGATGTGCACACACCCGGAGCTTCAGTTAACAACGGAGCAGCCGCAACGAACGTGCCATACAAAGGAGAGATGTTATAAATGGGGAGAACTGCGCATGCGGAGTAGGAGGGCTTCCATAAGCCCCTGGGAAAATGCACGCGTACATGGGAGCTCTGTGTTTCTGCAAACCTATTCTGCCTGGAAAATCAAGTCTGCTCTACACACACGCACGTGCGCGCGCCCGCACGCGCATCTGGTTGAATTTCCTTTCCTTTTTGTGCATCACCTCGGCTGTTTGTCTTTCAAGTCTTTTGCTGTTTCTTGGAAAACAGATATCACATTATTACAATTCTAAACTACAGGCATTCTGGAAGTTTTCCTTTTGTATAATGATTTCCTTCATTCATCGTTATCGCACACTTCATTGGCACTCGGTGAGGCGGGCTTTTGAAATGATTGTGATTTTTTAACGTTCATTGAGTTAGTTAATTGTGCCAGCCTGGCTGATAATCACATGTGGGATTAATTGAAGGGCGGAGGGATAAATGGGTGGTGAGCCTCGCCTTTCTAGTTCTCGGGTCTCTTGCTTTGTGATGGTCGCACTGGGTACAGCTGCCTTAGCAGCTCCCTGCTTCAGCTTGCAAGATTGACTTCCTGCAAGACATCCCCAAGGAGAAGCCACATGGACCTATCCCGATGCAACCCTGGGTGCTGGAGCAGCCGTGTGGAGACCCCTGCTAGTGCTGAGATGCTTGTTCGTTCACTGACTCAGCTTTCCTCCTGCAGTCGGCATCATTGCCTCTGTTTTGTGAGGTGGAGGACTTTGTGGACTGGTGTTGGGTTAATGGGTTCATGTTGGACTTGTGGGCTTGGGCAGCATTGGGTTGGGATGTTTTCGTTATGCACACTTTCTTTACATCAAACTCTCTTATCCATGAGTCGCTGTGGATTTGTTTCTCCCAAGTACCCAGACTAATACATTCATTACCAGCCACTTACACATTCGTTTATCGGCCTGTTTAACGTTCAGTTGCTACGAATGCTCATTGTTACAGATGGATGACTCAAGCCTCCAGATCTGTCAAAAGTTAGAGGCCCCTCAAGCCCATGACAAACAGGAGTGAGGAAAGTGAATTCAGAAGGACCGGCCCAACTGCCCTTTCCTGAAGCCAGTCGTCCTGAGCCTCCACTGGAGCTGTCCTCTTCCCTCTGGAGAGAGTCCCTCCGGACAAGTCCCAGTGCTTCAGCGAACCGGACGGCCCAGGAGCGACCCAGACTTACTTGAGTGGCGGGTGGATGTGAAATATGATCTGGAATCGAGGAGGGGCCCAGTCTGCAGTCCCTCTGATCCTCGACTTAAATTTGATGTCCTGTACCACATCCACGCTGGATTCCAACTGCTTTCGTATGTGGTCTTCGTTTACAACCTTTGATAACAAGGACAAGCGGTCAGGAACCACAGAAGCACACTTGTGGAATTTAGAAAGAAAATGTTGCTGTTCGTAAGGTTACAATTCATCATGAAAATGGAAACGTTTGTTTCCTTTTTGGTTACAGTCTCAGAGACTCACGGGGCTGTTCAACCCTGTCCTAGAGGGTCGCTGAGTCAGCATAGACTCAATGGCCGTGAGAGATGGCAAGTCCCGTCCAGGTGTCGAAGGTCATTTTGATCTGGAATACTTTTACCAACAGCCAAAGCCTAATTTCTCTTCTTCATCAGGTGAGCCCAAACCCACTACCACCGGGTTGATTTTGACTCCCAGCAACCCTATAGGACAGAGTGCAGCTGCCTCCAGGCATCTCAGAGGCTGTCCATCTTCACACTCCCTCAAGAGGTCCGGTAGTTTCGAATGGCTGACCTACTGGTCAGCAGCCCAACTCGTAAACTAGTACGCCTTCCGACCCACCTTCCTCCATCATGCAAGCCATGTCTAAACCCAACCCCACCAACCCACTGCCAGCGAGCTGATTGCAACTCGCAGCCAGGGTTTCTGAGGTTGCAAATCCTTAGATGGTCTCAAGGTTCGCCTGCAGAGCAGCTGGTGCATTTGAACCGCTGACCTTGCAGTTAGCCATGACACTGTGTCCTAATGATCGCCCCGTCTTCTACCAGACTCCCTGGAATTGTCCGTCTTCTTCAGAAACAGCTTTGTGAAACCCGTTCTTCACTCGTGGCCACAACTGAGCGGTTGCTTTTCATGCTATTGAGGTGTGCATGGTGCTATGAAGTTGGGAACGATGCTGCTAGCATTTCAAACACCAGCAGGGGCACCCATGGTAGACACGTTTTCAGCTTCCAGACTAAGAGTAGGAAGAAAGGCCTGGAGATCTACTACTGAGCATTAGCCAACAAACGCCCCCTGGACCACAACACAATAGTGTCTGACACAGAACGGGAAGATGGGCCTCCTCGCTGGACGGCAGGGAACAATGGCTCAAACAACAGACGTGAACGTGGGTCAGTCGAACTTGAAGATGGCGCAGGGTCAGGTAAGCTTTTGGTGCGCTAAGCACAGGTCTCTGGGAGTTGGAGGCAACTAGACCCTCACGCACAACAACCTGCTCACAACCTCCCAGCTGAGCGGTGACCCCTTCACAGCCTCTTTTAAAATGGAGCTGCTCAGATCAGTGCTCCCCATCCCCCACCACGTGGCTGCTACCCTGGCTGTCTTATTTCCTAGGAGGATCAGCGCCACCCCCACCCCCCACCCCCGGCCCCACACAAACATGTTATCAAACCACAACAGATGATTCTGCACCATGACCACACCAGGCACCTCCAGGGGCGGATCTTTTGCCCTAGTGCCCTTTGCCAAAAACATCCTTTCTTCTGCCTCACGCTGCCACAATGCTGCCTGCCTTCCTCAAGTCTCGGCTCCAGCTCTGCAGCCCCATCAGCCTTCTCGTGTTCCCGAAACAGACGTCAACATTCTTGCCCTGCGTGTCCAGGGGCCTCAGCTTAGCTTTCCTCACAGTATGCTCAGCCCTCAGGAAGCTTGCATGTGCTCATGGGTGGTCCTAACTGGGGCTCTGCCTGGGCTTCAGCAGGAGGCCGCCTGTTGCCCTCATTCCTGCCTAGCCCCTATCTGCTCTGTCACCTGAGTCAAAATTGCCTCCGTGGCAATGAATCTGGGGGAATAGTGGGGTACCCAGTGAGATGCTCAGGTAGTGGTTCAAACCTACCAGATGGTCCATGGGAGAATGATACAGCCGTCTGCTCCCATCAGAATGCACAGTCTCAGAATCCCACAGGGTCGATCTATTCTTTCCTATAGGATCAGATATTCTTGATAGCTGTGGGTTTGGTATATATGTATGCATGCATGCATGCAACTGGCTATTTTGTCCCTGTGCAGTACAGGGTTGGTGGTTCTAATCTACTCAAAGGTATCTCAGAAGAAAGGCCTGCCAATCTCCTTGTAACAGATTCACTGAGACGCACGGAGTCCAGGTTTACTCTGGCACACATCGGTCACCGGGAGTTGGGACCCACACAACAGATCAAACGGGAAGTGTGAGCGCAGTCCCTGCTACATGGTCGGTCTCTGCATTCACGTTGCCCCTCCCCCCGCCAGCCCCCCAGTAACTGTACAAGGATCCACACCAATGCTTGAGTGAGCAACAGACTACTGAAAACTTAGGGGCCCCCAATTCTGCGTGGTTGTGATTTACACCGTGATAAAATATGTAGAACATAAAACCTGCCCTGATCACCATTTTCAAGTGTACAAGACTGTGGCAGGAATCCTACTTGCACAGTTGTATAAGCATCACCCCTGTCTCCAAAGCATTTTCATCTCCTCAGACGGAAATCCTGTAGCTGTGAAGTGCTAACTCACTGCGTTCCCCGCTCCTCACCTGCCCACGGTCACCACGCGTCTATTTTTTTCTCTGTGCATTTGTCGATTCCAGATATTTCATAGAGGTGAGTTCAGGGAGCATGTATCCTCTCACTTATGGCTCATATCCACTGATACATGGGCTGCAGCAATTGACTCAAACATAACCATTGTGAGGCTGGCACCGGACTGGGTGGCGTTTCGTTCCATTGTGCACGGGTGGCTGTGGGTCCCAACCACCTGGATGGCCCCTACCAATACCATCTGGCTTATCTGACTCTGCATAATGTGTTCAAGGTACATCTATGTCACAGGATTGGTGCCTTTCCTCTCTATGGCTGGGTACTCCACCATTGCATGGATAGATTCCATTTATTTTATCCATTCATCTACTGAAGGACCCTTCGTTGTTCCATCTGTTGGCGGCTGTGAAAGCCACCACCGTGCCGTGCGTATGCACACAGCCGTGTGAGCCCTGCCTCCCAGCCTTCTGGCTCTATGCCTAGGAGTGGGCATGCTAGGTCACACTGGTAGTTCTACCATTACCTCTTTGAGGGACCGTCAAAGTGTCTTCCAAAACAAGTTGTTTTGATGCTTACCGTGGAGCCAGAGGCATGCAGGGGACTGACCAGCTGAGAATTCACTTCTAACGAGAGACAGTGCTTCCGGAAAACTCGATATAACTCTTTGGCCAGAAGTTCAGCCGAATTAGCGTCTGCCTCAGAGATGCCGCTGAAATGCAAGGGGATGCGAAAAGTGGAAGACGATCCTCATCCTCTTCCCACCCCCAATGGATCAGGGCTCCGTAGCTGAGCGGGGGCATCCCATTAAAGACTGCCTGGCACCTACCCGGGCACAATGCCCCTGTCCTTGACAGAACCTCTTTTTGAAAGCAAGGGCACCAGGACTTGGAGATGTGATGAAAAAGAGACTGGAGTTCTAGTCCCTGCTCTGCTGCTTAGCAGCCTCATGGCCCCAGGCTCATCACATAATCCAGCTATGACTCCATTCTACACAATGTGATCCCAAAGCCTGCCCTGTGGTTGGAACTGGCTCCGCTCGGTCCAAAGATCAGACTTAGTGTTCCTATTGGCTCGGAAGGGACGCCCAGGGGTCCCATGTAAGGTAGCTTACCTCCTGGAGGGGCTGTAGGTACATGCACAGGTTCCCATCCCGTTGTTAAACTCCCCACAGTCTTAGGAAAATAAAGAGAAATTAGGTCTTTTCAGCCTGTTTCATGCAATCATAGTCAATACAAGAACACAAAACCAGCTCCCCGCTTCAGACAGCAACTGTCCCCCAAAGGCCTGTCTCTGTGCTCGGAGTCCTCTTGCGTATTCACTATGAGACAACAGACAATGCCAACGAGGGTGTGCAAAAACACACCCTCCTTTGAAGTCTCACCAAAATATCCCTGGGAGGCCAGAGACCCCAGATTATAGTGGCTACTCGCTTTCTCAACGGTTTCACATGAGATGCGAGAAGATTGGCTATTGAGACACTTTGAACTACAATAACACTCACCTGCTTTAAAGCAGAGACGTGAGCCCATCTTGGGAGGAGTTTCTTCACGTGCCACTATACTGTGGCACCTGTGGTGGGGCCAGGGTTTCTTTGTGTGGCAGGGCTGGGGAGGTACCACCAGGCACCCTGAGTTTCCAAATCTTACCTAACACGGCCAGTTCATCAAAGTCACACGGAGAGACCTCCTTCCCCGCATCACAGTCGGTAGATGTTCCAACCACTGGGCTGACTTTTAACACAGCATAACCTAGAAGAAGAGCAGAGAGGGTCTTGCCAACAAGAATTAGAAATGAGATTGTAGACGCTGAAACACTCCGAAACCAGGAAACCAAGGGAGCCAAGGGTTTAATTTCTCCACCCCTCTGTCACTTTGTTGTACCCTGCAGTGGCTTGTGTGTTGCTGCAACGAAGGGAGCAGAGCTACCCGTATTCCCAGCTCGGGGTGTGGGGAGGGGAGTTCCCCATGGCAGACAGGTTTCAGTGAAGCTTCCAGAGTGAGATGGACAGGGAAAAGTGTAGTGGTGAACTTGCAAAAATTCACCCTTGTGTTCTTTCCAGAGCTATGCTACAGGGGATCAAACTGACAATAGCCATTCGAAATACGAAGTATGATATTAGAGGGCAGTGAATTCATGTCAGTGGAGGCGGACCGACTCGGCAAAGGATGTGAAAATTGGCTGCACGACTCACAAAATGTCACGCAGGCACTAAGTCGTACGTGCAGTTGTGGCAGGATGGCTCTGCTGTGTGTACTCTCAAGAATAAAAGTTAAAAATTAGAGCAACTTAAAAAAGCTCATTTGGTGTCGTGCTAATGCCTGCAGGGAAGTGAAACAGATGGTCAAATACAAAGTTCAGAAACGGAGAGGGGACCTTCTTGACCTTTCTGAAGCTCCCTCACACTTTAACGCACTATAAAAAAACCACACTGCCACCCAGCCCATGCTGGGTCCCAGCGACCCCCTGTGCGTTCCGAGACTGTAACTGTTTTCAGGAGTAGAAAGTCCAGTCTGCCTCCCTTGGAGCTGCCGGTGGTTTCAATCTGCCGACCATGCAGATCCGCCCAACCATTACCCCAGCACGTATCATTCACTTATTAATGTAATGAATGTCCTTTGATCACCATGCTGAGTAGAATCCTGTAAAACATGCGTCTAAATGAATGAGCACAGAAAGAGAGAGGAAGACCGTGAACACAGTTGTTTGGGGCTTAGTCTAGCCCATCGGTCATACGGCCAGGACAGCCTGTTTGTTCTTTCATACATAAGGACGCTATCTCAGAGCTAACAATAACAAAAGCCAGGGGGAGAGAGAGGGAGAGAGAGAGACCGCAGGTGGGTTGCCTAGTGGAATGGGCCGAGTTCAAAGCAACACTCCACCCCTCAGACAACCACACCCTCTAAGCCTCAATTTCCCCGTGGATATGATGAGATAATAATGCCCACTTCTGTTCCCACCCTCCTTTGGTCATAACCACAGGGGTTATATACCCTTGGCACTGTGAATTGTGACTCAGTACAAACAGAACATTCTGCTTAGCCGAGACCAATGTCCCAGGCAGCCATGACTCTCTCCATTTGATTTCATTTAAAAACAAATAGATTCTCAACTCACAGTTGCAAAACCCTGACCGCTCCCAGGGGGTAGGACCGATCACCAGAAATGTCAATCAGAGACATTAATACATTTCATGTATTAACGTGTTTTTAAAAAATGTTTCAGCTACACATCAGTTTCCACTCAGCGATTCAGTGGCTATTTATAAGCATCCTGCTTTAGGCAGGTTCTCATTTCTCAATGAGTTTAAAATCCCCAGAGGAAGCTGAGACACCCGCGCATTCAACCAGCGCACCCCACCCAGCGGGGTGGGGGTGGGGGGACTCAGAGGCAGAGCTCCACAAGGCGTGACTCTGGGGGATGGGACATGGGCAGAGAAAACAAAGGAGCATTCTGGGACACCATGTTTGTACCATTGCACATGATACAGATCAGGGTACACATCCTTGTGCCGGTGGGAGAAGACTGCCTTTTGAAAGCTAAGAAGGACCGGAGGTGCAGTTTGTGAGAGAAACCAGCATTCCGGGGATCCCAGCAAAGCAAAGGGAGACAGAGGCGGAAGCTGAGAGCCAAGTTGCCAGCAAGTGCCAACACTCTAGTGTAACAGGCCACAGCCAACGTGAGGAAGGGCCCTCGGGGCCCAGGGGGAGAAAGGCAAGGAGAAGCTGGGTCATGCGAACAAAACCTTTCGACGTGGAGGAAACTGGAGTACTAGAAGCTGCACTGTGGGAGACGGGTGTGTGCTGGGTCAACTAGAGGGGCAAAGGTGAAAGTGGGAGAAAAATGAAAAGGCAAAAAACGGGCATTGAGCCCAGTGATGCCACCATTCCTGGGTGTGCACCTAACAGACTGGGAAGCGGGAGCTCAGAGAGGGCAAGGAAACCACAAAGACCAAGCTCGCTGCCCTCCGGTCAAGGCTGACCCACTGTGACCCCCCTGGGGGTGTCTGAGGCTGTAACTGTGTACGGGACTAGAAAGCCCAGGCTTGCTCCCAAAGAGCAGCTGTGGTTTTGAAGTGCTGACCATGGGGATCGCAGTCCAATTCGTAACCACCATGGCTCCTCTGGGGGCAAGTAGGTAGAAGAAATGCAGACTATGGCGAAAGGGGGGCACCCAGTTTCCGTTAAGACTAAGGAAAAAATTCAGAAACAGACAATGATGATGGCTGCCCAAGAAGATGAGTGTAATTAATGTGGAAATGGCAACTCTTTGAACTATTTATGTCCATTTAAACACTGAAAATATATCCACAGAGAGAGACGCATGCACACAATGGTGAGAAGGCTTCAGAGTTCATGGAAAAAATGGAATTAAAAGAGAACGGAATTTTCCCACGGACGTTCTAATGCCCCCTCATGCCTGGAAGCAGGATGGAGTTTTTCTGCAATGACTGGGCTGCAGGTTCATGCACTGGTCTGGGGTAAAGGCTGGACTAGAGGACAGGCTAGAGGGACCTCACCCACCTCATAACCTGGAAGTCAAGGCTGATCTGACTCAATAGGAACACAGGAGACGGGAACACAACACAGAAAGGAGAGTGTGCCACAGACAAACCTGGTTTGCCCTGCCCTCCCCGCCCCCCAACCCCTCACCCCCAATATCCTGGTGGGGGTGGATCCTCTGGATCTTCAACCTGAGGCCCAGTACCGATAAGCCAGAGCCTCCTCTGGACTCTGGGTCTGAAGTCCCCACAAGACTAAGCTGAGCAGGGAGAACCTGGCTGAGATACGAGGAGTCACGGGAGAGGCTGGGGACAGGCAAGGGGAAATAACACAGAGAAGAGGGAGAATGGGAAACTGCATGACGAGGGACAAGGACAAGGGGTGACAATCCCAAACAGATGAGCCCTCAGAGCTGTGTCTGTACTGCTCAGTTCTCGGGTGATCCAGTGGCCCCCACCCCTCTCCTGGGTTCAGTGGGAATGCTGTACCTCCTTTTTAAAATCCCTTTTGATTTGAGCCAGTTACCTATTTCAACAAGTATTTGTGGTGCACCTGCGCTATGCCACACATTGGGCTGGGGACCACGAGCAGTGCGTGCCTCCCCTTGCTACTGGCCAGAGTCTTGAGTAAGATGCTAAGTAAAGGAAACCAAGAGGAAAAGCAATTTAGTTTTGAATCATTGGGGGGCAGGGGTTGCGAAGGAGTGATGGAGAAAAGACTTCGGTTTAGCCATGTTAAGTCACAGGTTCTGCTGAAGCTGTTTGACAGATTCTAGCCAGGCAGAGCGAGCGCTCAGAGGACACGGCTGTGACAGAAAACAAGAGATCTGGGAAGTCTTCACTGAGGAGGAATCACTGGAGGCGTTGCTGTGGATCAAGTCTCCCAGAGAGTGAATAGAGCCAACGAGAAAATAGAGCAATGCTAGGACTCCCAGCTAGGAAAAGGTACGATGAACAAACCAAGCCTAAACCAAATGCAACCATCAAGTCAATGTTAACCCATAGACACCGGATAGGATGGGCCAGAACTGTCGCTGTGGGTTTCTAAGACTGCAACTCTTTACAGGAGTGGAACGCCCGTCTTTCTCCAGGGAAGATGGCGAAAGCTAATGGCCCCCCAAAGGGGTCCCGACCCGCAGGTTGAGAACCGCTGCCTTACGGGTTTTCAATGGCTAGTTTTTCAGAAGTCAACCATCAAGCCTTCCTTCGCACGTGTCTCTGGATGGACTCAAACCACTAATCTGTTGACCATGACCGTCGTTTGGACCACCCGGGCACCACTTGTTATCCAAGTCATCCCACACTCATTCCTCGGCTGCCTGCTCCATCCTGTGAGCTCCTGGGAGGCAAGCACGACGACGTCAAGTAGACGGCGGCGTTTTCTCCCCCTGGTCCCTCCCAGCTTGTTGCTTGGGAATACTCGGGTGGGAGGGAGAAAATACGCAGGAAGATCTAGGAAGTGCTCTGTTGTAAATGGCATAGGAATGGGCGCAGTCATGACTCAAAAATGGACGGTCAAGTTCAAGATTACAATAAAGCGCCAGCAGTACCCAGTGTGGCACGTGAATGGAGCACGACCCTCTAGACCCGTCGCGAGGGTTCTACAGTCGCCGTGAACGTTTTATCAACAGGACCGAGAGACCTGTTGAGAGAGGGTAGGAGAGGCAATGTGTGGAGACAAATCACAGACCCTCCCACGTTTGCCCACGCTTGCCTTCATAGCCACTATCTGAAGAGGTGGAAGACACAGATTCTTGGTTTCTGTTGGCACAGGTCATCTGGGGATCAGCCTGCTCTTTGCCAAGCAGTGCACTGGCTTCATCTCCACCCCAGTCCTCTGCCTGCTGTTGGCTCAGAATAGTCCACTTCACTTTCTCCATTACTGATAGAATCATATCTGCAACATAAAAGTGGGCATTTTCCTGCAAGGAAAAAAAAAGATCAGTTACAATACTCAAAATACTCACAATCAGGACACAGTTCTTTATTGAGAGTATACAAACTTGAAAAATCAATATTGTTTCATTTAACTAAATAATTGTCACACATATATAGAATATATTATTTATATAGAATATAATATATATATATATTCTAAAGTCTACATCTCTCAGGGACTCAAGAGTTAGTTCAATATAACCAGCAAATAACCCACGGTGAATTTCTTGTGACAGAAAGTCCACGGCAGACATGGTGACCTACGGCAGACATGGCCCATCAATCACAGAAAAGATCCCAGCTGAGCACAGACACCGCTTTAAACCCCTCCCCGCTCAGTGTTCCCGGCAGCCACTACCAATCGAACCCTGAAACAAAATGGAGCCTGGCTGTTATATTTCAGCTTCACAAAGGAGACACTGTCTAGGTTGAAATCAGAACAATACTAAGGGACCAAGGGTCTTGGTGGTTAAACAGAAAATGAAGAGAATGTTTTCACCTTTTCTGCATCGACAGGGAGCACACATGCCTCTGGTGAGAAGGAGGCCAAAGAAGTGGTTCTTCCGTTGACTGGAGCAGCACCTGCCGAGTAGCAAGTTATTACAAACGGAGGAAAGCAAGTTCAAAAAGTGTTCAGGAAAACAAACGAAGCGAGCATTTTCTAAAGAGCAGCTTTAAATATGGAAGAAGAAGAAGGAGGAGGAGGAGAAGGAGAAGAAGAAGAAGAAGAAACAACCTAGGACAATTCTAGAATCAATGAGATAACAGGAGGAGGCAGACCCTTCCCACAGTAGGTTTCTGATACCTACCCCATGCCAGTGTTGCTTACTGAGGAACATTTTGACAAGAGGCTACTGGCGTTCATTTGAGAAGTTCAAATGAATCGCCTTCAGAGGAGGAATGGAAAAGCAGGTGGAGTGAGGCAAGAAGATAGAAGTAAAAGGAACAAAAACAAAGCCGTTGTGTCGAGTGATTCGGACGCAGGAGAACCTCGTGTGTGGCAGAGCTGAACTGTGCCCCGCACGCACGGTTTTCCACTTGGTAAACGTTCACACACTGCCTTTCCTCACAGGCACTTCCAAGCGGATGTAAGCTGCCAGCTGTTCTGTCAGCAGTTGAGCTCTTCACCATCTGAACTACCCAGGGGGTCTTCAAAAGAGAAGAGGGTGATGGGAAATGCCTAGAGAAAATGGGAGGTGACGAGGGCAGGGCGAAAAGAAGTACGGGGTCCTTCCTTCACCTCACTGCAACTAACCCCAAACTTCCAGAAACAAAAGGCCAGTATTGCTTCTCTAAATTGATCTTGCTGCAACGAGGAGAGACTCACGGGTTCCTCCATCCAAAGCCAGTCCACTGGGGGGCGATGGGGAAACCGTGCCCACAATGTGGTGGCTCGTGGAGCATTCCTTCCGAGCGGTATCCTCACCCATGGATGTGCTCAGCGCAGGGTGCCTGACATAGAAGCAAGCAGGGCTACCCTAGTCTCTGACCGCATGTGCAAGAAGGTGGCTAGTCCATGGACAGCTTTGAGCATCTTGGCTTTCCAAGCCTTCTGGGTCAGCCAGCCTTCTCTGGAAAGGACTAAAACAACCTCAGGTGTGTCGGAACAGAACCTGCTTCTAGCGGCTGCGTTCTCAAAAGCAGGTCACCAGGTCTTTCTGCTGAAGTGCCTCTGGGCACACTTGAACGCCCAACCTTTCAGTTAGCGCTGAACCCTTGCATCCCCCAGGGTCTCCGATGAGCTGGAACTCTCTGATCGCAACTGGTCCAGGGTGGAAAGGGTGGACTTTGGGAGTGGCATCAGCCCCTCTGCCACCATGGAGGGAATGCTGCCACAGGCCGCACCCAAGTTCACAGAGCACGAGGTCAGGTGTTCGCGTTATCTAGGGAAAAACCCAATCCAAACCCACCCCCGCTGTCTTTGCGTCAGCTCCCCCTCACAGCAACTGTATGGGACAGCGGTTCTCAACCTGTGGGTCCAGACCCCTTGGGGGGCCATATGACCCTGTCACAGGGGTCATCTAAGACCATCAAAAAAACACATTCACAATATCTCATTGCATATTGTTTTGTGATTAATCACGATGCTTTATGTTTAATTGTGTTCAATTGATAACAATGAAAATGCATCCTGCCTCTCAGATATTTACATGACGATTCATAACAGTAGCAACATGACAGTGATGAAGTAGCAATGAAAATAAATTTATGGTTGGAGGTCACCACAACCTGAGGAACTGTATGAAAGAGTCGCAGCCTTAGGGAGGTTGGGAACCACTGCTCTAGGACAAAGTCCCGCTGGTCCGTGGTTTCCTGAGACTGTAAATCTTTACTGGCACCCGCAGCTTTATCTTGCTCCCTTGGAGCAGCGGGTAGGTTTGAACTACTAACCTATCAGTTAGCAGTGCCACCAAGGCTCCTTACTACTCAGGGACTCCGCTAAATTGATAAACTTCAGTCACTGTCCGTGTGTGTGTGTGTGTGTGTGTGTGTGGTGTGAAAGTACACACAAATCACTCTTTATCCTGGACACTAATCTAAGTAAGCGAGCAAAAAATGTTGGAATGGGGGGGGGGGGAGGGGGCGGAGAAAGACCTGTGATCTAGTTTATCATTTATCAATGATCAAATTTGACTCTTAGCTCAAGATCAGAAAAATTATCCGAAATTTTTAACCTACAAAGGATGCGTAAACCCAAACCAAACTCACGGCCCCTGAGCCCGTGCTGGCTCAGTGACCCCGTGGGCTCCCCGGGATGCTGGGACTGTAGAGGGGCCAGTGCTTGCAGCTCGCTCCCGTGCAGCCCAGTGTGCCGCCAGGGCTCCTTCTAACGTGTCCAGACAGCCATCATTTTTCATTTTCAAAAGTTTTCACTAGAACCACTCCGATCGTCTAGTAAAAGTACACGATGGGCATACAAGCTTTTTTTAACTTAGGGGGGGAAAGTTCATTGACCCTTCAAACTGGGGCTCTCATGGAAATACCACAGTGTGGCCATAGCACGATGAGTCTTTTAAAATAAGAAACCTGCCCAAAATTCTAACAGCAGCAGCAGCTCGAGTTGGCACTGGAGGGGCACCGCGTTTGAGAAGCTGGAGCACTGTAGGGATGTGCACATGGCTTCATAGCAACAGTGCTTCGAAGAAAGCCTTTGATTTAGGGAAAAGGACTGTTGGATAGTCTTTGGGGTAAGGTGGTTACTGGTTCTCAATCTTACTATTCCATAACCAAGCCTGGAATAGGCGAAGAGATGGAGTGAATGAATCTCCTACCGAAGTGTGCAACAGAGCTCCGTTAACGGATTGTCTGCAAGCATCCTCCACCAACCACATGGAACTGAGGACATGTGTGCAGACACTTTAATTTGCCCGGTCAAACCTGACACGCCCCGTTAGTTATCAGCTGTCTTATCTTGATCGAAGGCGGTGCAAATGGCTGACGTATTCAGGAGTTAATCCAAAGGTTGGAGGTTCAAGTCACCCTCAGAAGAAAAGCCTGACAACCTCTTTCTGAGAACCCTAGAGCACAGCTTTTTTAAACATTCATTTACCTATCTACCTATGTATTTATTTATTTTGGTAATCTTTTTTTTAATCATTTTATTGGGGGCTCGTACAACTCTTATCACAAGCCATCCATCCATCCATTGCGTCAAGCACATTTGTACATTTTTTCCCCTCATCATTCTCAAAACATTTGCTTTCTACTTGAGCCCTTGGTATCAGCTCCTCGTTTTTCCCCTCCCGCCCTGCTCCCCCTCCCTCATGAACCCTTGATAATTTATAAATTATGATTGTTTTATCATATCTTGCACTGTCTGACATCTCCCTTCACCCACTTTTCTGTTGTCCATCCCCCAGGGAGGAGGTTCTATGTAGATCCTTGTAATCGGTTCCCCCTTTCCACCCCACCTTCCCTCCAGCCTCCTGGTATCGCCACTCTCACCACTGGTCCTGAAGGGATCATCTGTCCTGGATTCCCTGTGTTTCCAGTTCCTATCTGTCGGAGCACAGACATACAGGGATGGCCCTGAGTCGACGGTAACTCCATGACAACTAGTTTACATTGAGCAAAAGACATGACCTTTCCCTACAGTCTAACTGAAACCAAAAATCCACTGTGATTCCAAATCACCTTGGGCCTGTAAGGGGTTTCTAAGACTACTCTAAATCTTGACAGAGCACGCAGCCTCCTCTTTTCCCGAGAAATGGTTGGTGGGTTGGGTTTGAACCACCAACCTTGCAGTTAGCTGTTCAAGGCCTAAGCCACAGGCCCACCAACTCTCCTGCCCATAGTCTCGGAGAAAGGAAACCCTTGAGCTCACCTCTTGACCCTCTCCCGTGGTGGTTGGGCCAGAGGCGGCCCTAAGCGAATGAACGCGCTCGCTTCCAGTGACTTGCAAGGAACCCCATGAACTTCTGTTCTCACAGAGCAGACAGTAAGGCCAAGCAAGCGTGAAAGCAGACAGGGGGACAGTCGCCCACTGATGTTACCTTCCTCCGCGCAGCCTGTTCGGTGGGGAGGCAGGGCAAAAGCACCCTCTGCTTCAGGATCCGGAGAACGGGCCAATTCCTTAGAGCTGGTAAACGGAGACGCCCCAGGGGAGCTTCCTGAGAATACCATCCGAGCCAGGTCCTGGCTCTGCCCAGAGGAGCGCCAGGTGGGCGGCGGAGTGCTGTCCTGTGAAGGGGTCTCTGTTCCGGAGCCCCCAAGGGACTGCAGGGAAGGGCCTGCTGGCGGGATCTCGTTGGCCACACAGTGGCTCCTGGTCTTCCCCACTGTCCCCTCTCTGGGGCACATTTGCACCCAGTCAGGGTTCATCCAGGCGGCCCTGTGCCTCTGGAGCCTGATGTCAGAGAGGCTGGGCGAGCCAGCACCCCTGCCTGGGTGATCACTGCTCCCCCCCCAGGGAGCCACTGGGGACGAGCGCTGGCCCACAGCCTGTAACTCCATCTTCCCAAGGTGGGCGTGACCCCATTCACAGCAGAGCCCAGGGTCTGTGGCGGCGGCTGCACCTCTAGTCCAGGGCCTGGATTCGCCTTGCGGCCAGCTGGAGGTCTGACCAGCTTACCTGCAAAGAGCAAACAGATTTCAAGAGACATAGGGTTCTATCATATTTGCGACTCAGATGAATTCGAAGAGGTCCACAAAAATGCACACTTCACCTCATGTAACACAATGCATTCCATTTGGGTTTGCAAGTCCAAAGTCAGTGTGTGTGGCGGGGGAGGGGGTGGGTGGGTGATAGTGGGTGGGCATTAGACTCATGGCCTGTGTGCAGCCATTAAGGGGTGGCTGTTTTCTCTCCCGCTGTCAGTCAGTCTATGCACACTCAGGGCTCAGCTCCGGCAGGCTGGGGTATGTGAGAGAATTCACCTATACCTGTATTCCTCCCAGTGTCCCCCACTGCCTCCCTCACCGTTGCCAGCCCCTCTTAGTATAGCATGCCTTCCCATCACCCAAGTTAATACCTGTCTACTCAGCACCCAGTTTTTTGCCATCCACCCCCAACCATTTGGGGTCATCATTGAACACATTTTTTTTCTTGTAGTTTGAAAACCTTTTCTTGACTTTTTTTTACACACCCCCCCCTTTAGTTAAGTGAGGTAGTGCTTAAAAGTTGGAGTGATAAGGAACAACTATTGGCATTGTCATCAGCTGGACTCCTGACATGTGCTAACAACAGAGACCTCCACTAAAGTACGCCGAAGGAGCCAGCCAGCACGCACACGTTAACAAGGTGATGTGCTGAAGCCCATGCCTAGCTGCAAGCTCACTAGAGAGCAAAAGACCAAACACAGACGGGAACGCCCCGGGGTGACTCTGTTATCGTGCTGTGCCATCACATCAATTCTGAGTCACAGTGACGCCCGTGTCCGAGCTGAACGGCCCCGCCGGGTCGGGTCTCCTGGGCTGTAGCCGTTACAAGCAGATGGCCAGCTCCTCGCTCCTGAGCAGCCACTGGTCGTTGAAGAAGCAGCCACGCCCACACCTGTCTGTAAGTCAAGGAACCAAGGAACCCGGCTATGGGCAAGGAAGGGAGCAACATAGCCAATACCCTTAGACGTTTAGCCATAACTGTGAGAAGAAAAAAAGTTTCTTTTTTAAAGCCGGGGGAGAAAAATGCTTCTTTAAAGGAGGGAGAGGCATGCAAAAGAGAAGCGCTCCTGGGACTTAAATACTGGCCCAGCCTGTGTCCCCTTGTCCCATTCTCCCGTGTTCTAAAAGCATCCTCAGTGAGAGGGCCAGGTCTGGAGAGGAGCCGTGCAGACCATTTAGGCAGGATCCGCCCCGGGGAGGGTGGCCGGGAGTGCATGGCATTGGGGCCAGTGCATGGCTTCTGGTGCCATCGGATAGGCACCGGTCCCTGTGTGGAGACACTGGTTGGACTTCAGCTGCAAACCAAACGGCTGGCAGTCTGAACCCACCCGGTGGCCCACAGAAGAAAGGCCTGGCGTTCTGCTTCTTTAAAAAGACGACAGCCAAGAAAACCCTATGGGGCACTTCTCCTCTGTAGCACATGGGGATGCATGAATCTGTGTGTCCTCCTTGCCCAAGCTCCCTGCTGACCTCCGGGCTGGCATCTCTTCCTGCTCATCGAACATGTGTCGAGTGGGCATCTCAAACGTGAGCCATCCACAGCAGACACTGGTTTTCCTCCAAACCGACTCCATCCCAGTTTTGGGATCTCAGGAAAGAGTCTTCTCCATTGCTTAAGCCAAAATCCCATCCATCTTTCCCTAAACTGCAGCCTCCATCCATGGGCAAGTGTGTCTAGAATCATCACTCTAGTCTAAGCCACCATCTTCTCCCACCTGGACACCCTACATGGTTCCCCAATGGGGCCCCCACTTCTACTCTTACACATCAACAATCGATGAGTGGTCAGGGAATCGAAAAGCAGCATTCCCCTAAACAACCTGCCCCAGTGGCTTCCCGTCACACTTAGAATGAGATTTCATTCCAAGTTGGAATGAAACTCTACGTTTAGATCGAACAGGTAAATTTGCAAACTTAAATGGACATCTAAGTTTAGATGGAAACTCCTTAGTTTGTCTTAAAGCTGGACACGACCCTGTCTCCTTCCAATGAACAGCAAACGCTGTAAATTCTCTCCCACCCGTGGGTGACGGTCTCGCTCCCTCTGTCCAGGATGCTTTTCCCCCAGATGACCACACACCTGGCTCCTACCGGGCTCCTTCCCGTTGCACGCGCTGCGGCGGATGAGATGCGTCTTCAAAGAGCCTTTCCTAACCCCTCTCTTAAGAGTACTTCCCCCCACACTCCCCGTCACATCATCCTGTCTCGTTTTCATCATCATTTGCACTTCCTGAGATTTTTAGCTCCTCGTGTCAGCCTGCCCCAACCCTCAGCTCCAGGGGAGCAAAGGTCTTTTCCGTTCCCTGTCAGCCCTCCCCACCCCACGCCCAGCTCCCGCCTGCAGAAGTGCTATGTCTAAAAACTAGTCGCCGGGACTCTGACTCCAGGCAATTGCATGTGGAGCCACGTAAAACGGCCCCGTGGGTTTGCTCTGTGGCTGCTGGCTCAGAAGTAGATCCACAGGCCCCTTTCCCAAGGCACGTCCGGTGGGCTCAGCCCCCCAACCTTGTGGCTAGCAGCCAAAGGCATGAACTATTTGCACCACCCAGTTCAATACATCTTTATTGACTGGAAAATGATAGTCAATAAAGTCCGAGCCAGAGAAAGGGTTTTGTGGTAGTCTGTGGGTTCTATGGCTGCCCAAGACCTCGTTAACGGGTGACAGAGCGAACATGTCACTTTGAGGACTGAGTTACCCCTGACCCAAACCACGGTACAAAGGGCTTCAAACAGTCTACGGAAAAATTCCATTATCTTTTCATTCCATTTTTCCTTTCGGGAGCTGCTTCACATCTTCAGCTGCCTCGGGGGCACGTGAAAGCTAGACACCGAGGAAGGCAGACCAAAGAAGGGGTGGCTCTGAATTGGGGTGTTGGTGAGAAGACTGACCGCACCAGGGACCGGTAGAAGAACCAAGACATCGGTCTTGGAGGATGTACAGCCAGGATGCTCTTTAGAAGTGACCTTGGTGAGCCTTCATCGGACACAGTTCGGGCCCGTTATCAGGAGAAGCCAGGCCCTCGACAAGACTGACCGACACTGGGGCTGCCATGCGGGACTCGCGCACAGGCAGGATCGTGAGACCAGAGAGTCCCTCGTGCTGCTGCACAAGGACAGCGGCCGCTCCGAGCCAGCACCAACTCCACTGCAACCATTCCTGGGCAGAGTGACTCGCACAGGAGAGAAGTGAATCCATGTTTCTAAAGATGGGGCATGTTTTGCTCACCCAGGGCTAGCAGCGGTAAGATATACACTCAAACAGACCCAAAGAAGGTACTCCTACAGGTGAAACATGAGCTATAATTCTTTGGGCTTCTTGATTTGGGGGTATGTGGCATTCCTTCTTGAAACACCGGGTCCTACAGCACCTGGGTTTCCTCCAAACCCGTTCTTGTTGAGGGTCTGAAACCATGGAATGACCACGACAGTGCACCTGAGCCGTTTGGCCTTTATGATTTAACCTCTGGACACCGATAAGTAACAGTGGGCAAGTTTTATAAAGAGGTTGGGATATGAAGGGTCATTGTTAAATTTTTTATACATATAGACATTGGGTCATACTGGACATATTCTTTTTCCCTTAAGAGTAGGTACTGAGGGTATAAATCAGCGGTTCTCAACCTTGGGTCGTGACCCCTTTGCGGGGTCGAACGACCCTTTCACAGGGGTCGCCCGATTCATAACAGTAGCAAAATGACAGTTATGAAGCAGCAATGAAAATATTTTATGGTTGGGGGTCGCCACAACATGAGGAACTGTATTAAGGGGTCGCGGCATGAGGAAGGTTGAAAACCACTGCCTTCGAAGAAAGGATGGCATTTGGACGTGTTATTGGGAGAGACCAGGCCGTCACGCTTGGTAAAGCAGTGCATCAATGACAAAGAGGAATCCCGTGACAAGAAGGATTGGCACAGTGACTGCCACAGTGGGTTTGACATAACAATCGTGAGGCTGGCGCAGGACTGGGCAGGGTGTCATTCTGTTGCACATAGGGTTGCTATGGGTTGGCCCCACTCAAGGGCACCTAACAATAACAGCAGCAAAAACAACAACAACATAGTATCAACGGGCCTTACTTTACTCCGCCAGACTCCCATTGGTTGAAGTGTTCATTTCCTATTGTCTAAAAAATACATCAGCGAACACCTTTTATTATTGTCCTGTGTTGACTCTTTTCTATGTTCGTTCTGATTTCTAGTCTCAATCCATAGATCATGCTATTTGCCTTATTTCCAAAAGAATAAAACTATATAGGTATCTTTTTCTACACATTACATATCATTTGTGGGTGTGTAGGGGGCAGTAGATGATTAAATATGAAAAACATATTTTAAAAAAACCAACTCACAGCCATTGAGTCAATATAGCCTCCGACAATAGCAACTCATAGTTATCACTGCTTTTTATGCCCGGATTAAAGCCAACCTTTCAAATAGAATGCGGATCTGCATGAGCCTCCCAGGCACAGGGGAACTGACCCAACTCATAGAACAAAGACCTACTTCCTGATAAAACGCAATTTTCAGAAGCAGGGGCTTGCTCCACTTCCTTCTTAAAAGGGGTTGTTGCTTCATACAAACACCCAGCGGGTGCTGAGTTTATAAAATCAGAACACGTTCGGGCGGGAACAGGCCCGTGGGAGTCGACACCCTGTTCAAGGGTGTGCGCAGTGGCAGAGAGAGAGAGTGGAAAGCCAGAGGGACCGTCAGCGCGGAGCAGGAGATCCTCTGAGGGGCAGACAAACAGAGGAGAGGGAGGGTGTGGCATAGATCCCTGCGAGAGCGGGCCAACATCTTCTGTCCTCATCTGTAGGGCAGCAGGTTAACGCATGAGATACTATGGGCATGCAGCTCGTTGCCACGCCGCCTGTGATCTGTGACTCAATTGAAATAATATCCCTGCCACCATAGAAGGGGTCATTTGAATAAGACTCCCGTGATACAAAGATAAAAGCAATGCCTTTCAGAAAAA